GGCGCCAACGATGGGGCGCTATTCCCCCCCACCCTGGCGCCAACGATGGGGCGCTATTCCCCCCACTGGCGCCAACGATGGGGCGCTATTCCCCCCACTGGCGCCAACGATGGGGCGCTATTCCCCCCACTGGCGCCAACGATGGGGCGCTATATTCCCCCCACTGGCGCCAACGATGGGGCGCTATTCCCCCCCCACTGGCGCCAACGATGGGGCGCTATTCCCCCCACTGGCGCCAACGATGGGGCGCTATTCCCCCCACTGGCGCCAACGATGGGGCGCTATTCCCCCCACTGGCGCCAACGATGGGGCGCTATTCCCCCCACTGGCGCCAACGATGGGGCGCTATTCCCCCCCACTGGCGCCAACGATGGGGCGCTATTCCCCCCACTGGCGCCAACGATGGGGCGCTATTCCCCCCACTGGCGCCAACGATGGGGCGCTATTCCCCCCACTGGCGCCAACGATGGGGCGCTATTCCCCCCACTGGCGCCAACGATGGGGCGCTATTCCCCCCACTGGCGCCAACGATGGGGCGCTATTCCCCCCACTGGCGCCAACGATGGGGCGCTATTCCCCCCACTGGCGCCAACGATGGGGCGCTATTCCCCCCACTGGCGCCAACGATGGGGCGCTATTCCCCCCACTGGCGCCAACGATGGGGCGCTATTCCCCCCACTGGCGCCAACGATGGGGCGCTATTCCCCCCACTGGCGCCAACGATGGGGCGCTATTCCCCCCACTGGCGCCAACGATGGGGCGCTATTCCCCCCACTGGCGCCAACGATGGGGCGCTATTCCCCCCCACTGGCGCCAACGATGGGGCGCTATTCCCCCCACTGGCGCCAACGATGGGGCGCTATTCCCCCCCCCACTGGCGCCAACGATGGGGCGCTATTCCCCCACTGGCGCCAACGATGGGGCGCTATTCCCCCCACTGGCGCCAACGATGGGGCGCTATTCCCCCCACTGGCGCCAACGATGGGGCGCTATTCCCCCCACTGGCGCCAACGATGGGGCGCTATTCCCCCCACTGGCGCCAACGATGGGGCGCTATTCCCCCACGATGGCGCCAACGATGGGGCGCTATTCCCCCCACTGGCGCCAACGATGGGGCGCTATTCCCCCCCCCACTGGCGCCAACGATGGGGCGCTATTCCCCCCACTGGCGCCAACGATGGGGCGCTATTCCCCCCACTGGCGCCAACGATGGGGCGCTATTCCCCCCACTGGCGCCAACGATGGGGCGCTATTCCCCCCACTGGCGCCAACGATGGGGCGCTATTCCCCCCACTGGCGCCAACGATGGGGCGCTATTCCCCCCACTGGCGCCAACGATGGGGGCGCTATTCCCCCCACTGGCGCCAACGATGGGGCGCTATTCCCCCCACTGGCGCCAACGATGGGGCGCTATTCCCCCCACTGGCGCCAACGATGGGGCGCTATTCCCCCCACTGCAAAAATTACAGTTATGAAGTAGCAACGAAAATAATTTTATGGTTGGGGGTCACCACAACATGAGGAACTGTATTAAGGGGGGTCGCGGGCGGCATTAGAAAGGTTGAGAACCACTGGCCTAGGTGATCCAAGGAAAAGTTGGAGCAGGTGCCTATCAAAACTAGGTATCTTCTCCCCCAAAAAATATTATAGTGTGCCAGAGATGTTCACCTTCCTTATTTTGGACAAGGCAGCAAGCTCCCAGCTGTGAAATGAACTTTTCCCACACAACTGTAAAGAGAATCCATTGTGAGACATAAAAATGATGGATTGTGACACATTTTTCATGTCCCCTACCACTTTAAATTGTGTGAATTTGTAGATAGCCTGGCATTTGATTTTTACATGTATGGAATGCTCTGCTTTTGAGATCTGCAGTCATTTAAATGCTTTTAACCCCTCCGTGCCTAAGGGTAAAAGAAATCTTAATGCCTAAGAGCACAACTTTGCAATTTTGACATGTATTAGCAAAACCGTACATATCATCGCAAGTACTTTGTGCATCCAGGTGGATTATACTTTTTTTCTTTTTTCAGGACAAACTGGGCTTTCATTTGGAGGTAAATGGTTCTTTTTATTATCAAAGGAAAACTGGCCCAAAATAGTAAACAAATGTATTTTATTTTAACTTAGCTGTGTATTTACAAAAGTATTTCTCCTACTCCTGACGTTCGCAGCGATACCACATATGTGTATGTTAGTTGTTGTTTGTACCCGTAGTTCGGCCCAGAAACAATAAAGAGCATTTTGCTCTTTTTTTTTTTACCCTGCCATTAAAGCGGAGCTCCACCCAAAAGGGAAAGTTCCGCTTTAAGACTTTCTCCCCCACTCCTCATTAAGGATTGGCACCTTTGGGGAGCGGGTACCCAAATTTGACAGGTACCCCCTTCCGCTGTGATCGCCTAAGGCATTCGAAAGCGGAAGTTGTACTCCCCCCCCCCCCCCCCCCCCCCTCTCCCCATAGTCTTGTGAGACACATGACAGGTCCCAGAAGACTACGGGACAATTCACAAAGCACAGCGCTCCTCACACATGCGCAGTGGGCACCCGGCTCTGAAGCCACAAGCTGTCACAGCCGGGTGCCCACACTGAAGATGCCGGTGCTAGAGAGAGAGAAGTTGGCCGGTGAGACCAGCTGTGGTGAGGACACCGCTGGACTGAGGGACAGGTAAGTGGCTGTATTTTAAAAGTCAGCAGCTACAGTTTTTGCAGCTGCTGTTTTTTTTTTTTTGTTGTTTTTTTTCAGGTGAAACTCCGCTTTAACTGACACTGATACGAATTTAAAAATGAAAAAAAAATCCTGAGCAAAAAAAAAAAAAATACTGACCCTTGACCTTTTGACCCTGATCTTGACCCAAACACTAACCCTGGAATTAGATCAAACCTTCATCTAGGTATTTTTTTTATTTTTTTTTTATTATTATAATTTATCTTTTTCCATTCAGAGAGAGAAAAAACAGGGGCGGACTTAAAAGTGACTGATCACTGTAATCAAAGGATATCACAGCGGTCAGGTGACTCTGAATCAGGAGCTTTGAGCCCCGATTGTTTAGAATGGGACCCAGGGCTTTCAGTGAGACCCTGGTCTCAGTGCTGGGAGCACGCCGTGCGGCATGCTCCCAGCGCAAAGACAGGTACACAAATTAGCGACCCCATGGCAAAAGCCTAGTTCATTGGGGCCACATATTTGCATACTGTCGGTGTGGAGCGGTTAAAGTGCATCTAAACCCAAGAACACATTTTTTATATGTTGCAGCTTACTGATTCTTGGTGTATTGGCATTTGTTTTCTTTTGTTAAAGTATAATTAAGGCAAAACCTTTTTTTTTTTTTTTTTTTTTTTTTTTTTTTTTTAGCTTCGGATAGAGTGGGAGAGGAATTAGAACCCCTGTCAGTTTTTATTGCTGTCTGCATCCCCAGTAGGGAGATTTTCCCTCTCTATCTGCTATGTTTACCACTATCTTCAAAAGTGAAAATAAAAGAAACCCTAAATTTTGGGTTGTCACCAGAAAAGTAATAGATGGGACATTTTCCAATGGGGACACTAGGTATGGTGACCTGGGGGTCCCTAAAGAATTCCCTTAATTTACAGAGATTTTCTCACTTCCTGTTTTGGCTATGGGACAGGAAGTGAAGGTAAATTTCCCCAATGGGATACGGATGGAAAAAATTAAAATGACATGGGCCTGTAGTTCTATTCTTTCCTTTATTTTCACTTGGTGAAACACACTACTTGTCTTAGGATGGCAACACTCCCTTCTCCAATATATCAATGGACCAGCACCATAGTTGTATTTGATCAGCAACTGTGTCAACCTTTGGAGAGACTAGTGTTCGGTGGACTGTGCATAAGGGCTTGTCCACACCATGGTAACACACATTACTGCGCTTTAAATTAGTCGGTGTGATGTATTCAGGGCTTTTTTTCCTCACAGAATAAGTGCATGAACTCCCCCTTTCCAAATCACCCCTTGTCTCCCCCCTATCTACCTCCGAGCACCATCCTTTCGGTTCCACCACCTACCCACCTACCAGTACCACCCCTTTTAAAAGTGTGTAGTAATTTGTATGGAATTTGGATCCCCTGCAACCAGCAACAAAAGAACCCCCATGTACTACCATTCATTCTGAATGCCACCTTAAAGTACTTCACTGTACATAGTGGTATGCTACTAAAAATGGTGTATACCCTAGTGGGGCACATGGGCAGTAAAGCCTACCTGCCATGTTGCCACACATATGCATTGGACAGGTAAAGGTAATCAAACTGTGTTATAGGGTGACTGCTATGTTAATGCTAGTGACAGACTGCATCTTAAATGTAAATTCTGATTTTGTCCATAGCTCCACTTTAACTTCCTGCAGATCCCTGGTTGTACCTGGTGCAGGAATTGTATTCGAGTTCATGCACAGTACCACCTGCTGGATAAATCTGGTAGTGCCACTGAGGTACTGGGAATGTGTCAGGGTTCTTATCAGGGTTCTCATTTTGACTGCTGGTCAGGAATCCTACTCCAGCAATCGGCTCCCCTGCTCAGATTCAAACAGGAAAGCCTTTCTTTGAGTCCATTCAAGGTTCTCATTTTTACTGAAGCCCAGATGAAGAGGGAGTTCCTAGGACCCTCGAAACACGTTGGCTGTCTTTTAACATCATCTTTTGGTCTGGCGCTCCTTCCATGTATGCACACTTTTTTCTGCTAACCTGCTGCAGTACCCACAGTAAGGTGGCCTTGCCTGTTGTGAGCACCCTAACCTGAGCCACTGAGTTGTTCAAATGTTTTTTGGCCTCTCACTACCTTGTTTGAACTCATATCAAAGTCTCAGCACCTCTTGGATGCCTTTTTTTTCATTGGAGCCCCTGAGCTGGTACATATGAATTTCCTCACCATTTAATTTGCTTTTAGAAAATATAAATTGAATCAAAGATAAAAATGCTTTCCTCTGGTCTTACCTTGTCTAATCTCGTGTACAATTTTACAGACTTCTCTTAATTATTTTTTGCAGGGTGAAACATCAGGGGACTATCGCAAAGCCTTACTGGTCATCTGTGGAGGAGACGACTAAAAGAAGAATATCCAGTTGTCCTTGAACCTGTCAGTTGTTGGCGGAAGCCCACACACCAAATGTCTTCATGGTAGATAGTATTGTGGATTTTCCGAGAACTGTGAAACTTCACCTAAAATGTCACCAAAAAATCGATTGTGCACCAAAGAAATACATAGTTGGGGGAAATGGGATGGGAACAGAAGATTGGAAGAAATTTAGTGGAAGGAATATACATTACCTTCCTGTACCAGATACTGCTGTGTACAAGATGCAAAATGATGGTACTTTCAACATCAAAGCCAAATTTAGATCCTTCACAATGGCGATAGGATCCAGCCAAGATCAAATAAAGTGTCTCAGTGGTTATCTCATATTGGTATATTTATTTAATATGTATACTGTAGTAGTGTGTGTAGATAGATAGTCCATGTACAGAAGTACTCAGACTGGAAGAAGGAGAAGCAGTATCAGTATAAGTTACCAATCAATTGTGTGGCAATTCAAGGAGCATAGTAATGGGAGGAGAGAGTCACAGAGACAGTGCTGTAAAGAGTACATGTTTATGTAGCTTTCATAAACCATTTTGTATAAATCTGCAGTGTATGCATGCTCATTGGCAGGGGCAGACTGACCATTTGGAAACTTGGGCACTGCCCGAGGGCCCGAGGTCAGTAGGGGGCCCCATGATACCTTTTTCATAGGCTTTTTTGAGTTTGGGCAAGGACACGGGCCCCATGACCCCCTATTGCCCGGGGGCCCCATGAGTTGTCAGACCGCCCCTGCTCATTGGTATCCTGAAGTAAAATCATTATTGCTTCCAACCTTGCATTGGTTTAGTAAACTACAATTACTCCTTTTTTTTTTTTTTTTTTTTTTTTTAATCATTTGGCCATTTACCCATTCAGTTAAACGTCCACATCTGTGCTCCCAACAGCCTCATTAAAAAGGATTTTATCACATTTTATCTGTTCCTCAGCAAGATCCATTAAAAAGATTAGAGGAGAAAAATTACATATAAACTGAAAAGGGGTGAATAGCATAGAAGCAAGGATGATTGTGTGAAAGAAAAAAAACTTAGGACTGCTTGGACCTTGAAGAAATGGATATACTGCGAAAGCTTGTCCTAAAAATTTGGATGTTAGTGCAAGTTAGAAAAGTGTAATGGTCAATACTCCGTTGTTTCTACAGAAAGTACCCAAAATCCATTTAGCTACTAAAAGCCACTCTGAAGACTTTTTCTATTCACTAGCCTGAGTGAGCACCTTAACAAGGAAAACAATGGCTATGCTGAGCAAGGACTCTAAATACAACCCTTGGTTGGCTGGTTGTTCACCGGAAAACCCCTACAGCGAAAAAGGGAGGCAGCCAGTGCTGACCTCCCAATCTAAAATGCTTGCTTCCTGGCTCCCATAGTGATATAGTGGCTTCAGAACTTTTGGCTCGCAGACCCTGAAATCAGGAGTGCTCACTTTACTTGCTTACATGACTGTGCTGGGTCAATGACTTAGGAAGAATTGACACCAGATACATAATGAATGAAGGAGAGGTTCCTGCCTTCAGCGGGTATTTCCAAACTTTGCAAATAGGTTATTTTAGTTCTTACATTAGGATTTAATACAGCTTGTGGCTAAAGAAAGTTCCAAGAAACACAGCGAGAGAGCACTATCTCTGCCAGTAATGTGGTTGCTCACAATAGTAAATATTTTCCTAGAGGATAAAAACTTAACCCAGATATTTAGAAGGGAAGATGCTAGAGAAACCCACTGTGCAGTTTTATACGTAAGTTTTAACCACTTGCCCTCCAGAGGCTTTACCCCCCCTTCCTGACCAGGCCATTTTTTGCGATATGGTACTGCATTACTTTAACTGACAACTGCGCTGTCATGCAACACTGTGCCCATAATGGAATTTATGTCCTTTTTTTCCCACAAATGGAGCTTTTTTCGGTGGTATTTGATCTCCTCTGCATTTTTATTTTGCGCTATAAACAAAAAAGACTGACAGTTTTTAGATAAAAAACAATATTTTTGACATTTTGCTATTAAACATGTCCAGTAAAAAAATTTTAAAAATCAAATATCATCCTAAATTTAGGCCAAAATGTATTCTGCTGCATGTCTTTGCTAAAAAAAAAAAAATCCCAATATGTGCAAATTAATGGGTTTACGTGAATGTTATAGCATCTACAAATGGCGGTATATATACTGGAATTTTTTTTATGCTAGAAATGGCTGTGATCAGCAACTTATAGCGGGACTGTGGCGGGCATTCTGACACTGGAGGGGAACTGACTGTCAGTGACATCCCCAGTGACACTTATACAGTGATCAGTGCTAATAAAAAGCACTGACACTAAACTAATGACACTGGGCAGGAAGGGGTTAACATCTGGGGCGATCAAAGGGTTAACTGTGTGCCGTTTTGCTGTGTGTGTGTTTTACAGTGTAAGCACACTGGTTTGCATTGCTCTGCTATGCAGAATGACCCAACCTGAACCTGGCTACACCCAATTTCGCAGGTATATGTTTACCGCTGCTCAAGGTAGAGAGACTCCCAATATCCAAGCACAACTCCTCCTGTAGGTGCTGGCCCAGCTTGGTGCTGCATAGATGAAAACAAAGGATGTCCAATCTGCTGCACTCCAAACAATTCACTTTATTGAACTAATTCAAACAGTGGGGGACTGGCAGGTAAACACGTTTCACACTTAAGACAGCATTTATTCAATACCCAAACTTTGCTGCAGATTCCTACCTTTGTTATTCTGAAGAAATAGCTGTTTGTTTGTCTGTGTCTATGTCGGAGTGAATCTGTATGGGAGTGATTTTATAATTATCAGCTGCTGCACCTGCAAGACTCTAATGACGAAAATCAGAGTCTGCATCCCTTCAGTCCTGGTTCACACTGTTCCAGAACGCATACTGTAGAGTCGCATGTCAAGGGAGTTAACATGATTTTCTATGGAGATTTTACACCTATGCGTTCCAAACGTGATGTGATTTCCAAAAGGGTCCTGTGTGTGTTTGATGCGATGTGGTGCATTTTTGAGCCCCATAGACTTGAATGGAAATAGCAGTAAAAACGCATAGGCATTCAAATGTAATGTGCAATTTCAGGGTGAGATACACCTATTTCTAATGTCATAAAAATTAACCAGAACAGGAATCTGCAGCTGTGTAAAATCTCATCAGAATCTTTTGCAACTGCTCCTGAAATTACATTTGAAATGTATTGAAATCGCAGTGCATCAGTATGAACCAGGGTTTAGACATGAGCCCCCTTTGGGAGGGGGCTTGGTATTGATGGGAGGGGGGGGCCCCACATCGTTTTTTTATTATCTTTTAATTGCCGGCAATTCTTTCTTTTACATTCAGCTGTCAGTGAGAATTCCACTGACAGCTGAAACATTAATGCATGCTTTTCACTACTAAAATACCGCATGACTTGATAAAATAACTCACGTGGTATTTTAGTAGCCTTTTTTAGTGCATTTAGTATTTTTCTGGGCATTTGAGAGGGTCTCCTGAGGTTATCTTTAAAAAAATGCTTCTAAACACAAACGTGCATAAACGCGGCTAAACATGTTATGCAAACGCGGCTAAACTGATTTTTTTTTAACCTGTGTTTTCCAACAGTCAGTTTCCATCATTTGAGAAGAGTTTTACAAATGCCCTGTGTAAAATGAATCCTAATACTTTCTGGATCATTTAGTTCAAACAACTGCTCAGAAGAGTGGAGCCTAACTGTCTGTGTGTGCATCACAAACCAAAAATGCTATTTAATTCATTTTTAATATTTAAAATTCGGCCGTCCATGTCTCCATGCTTTTATTGAACAATCCCTTGATAAGATGATTCATGTAACATTTACTTCCTGGAATCCATCGGTCTTTTGCTCAGGCATGCAGGCAGAAGGGTGTACTTAGATGAAAGTCCTCCTCCTCTCCTCTGAATGAAAATACAAAAATGTCCATGAAGGCTCCTGGGATGAATATCATTTTGGCCTAGGCTAGAAACCAGGAAGCAAATAAAGAGACATCTGAAAAAAAAGTTTAAAACAAGTAAATATAATATACCTTCCTATCTACTTACTAATGCTGGCAGCATAAGGATTAAAAATAGTTCATGTTGATTTGAGAGAATTTATTTCAGCTTTGTCTTGCTGCATACTTCTGGTGGTCAGTGAATCAGAGAGCCTTGAACCAGACACATCCAGACAACTAGCAGCCCCCTTATTTCATTCTTTAACCTCCCTAGCAGTCTGATTATGTCCATATTTCTGTGCTCAAAGCGGTACATTTTTTTTGCATGGAAATATGTCATTTTTCTATTGTAGGCCTGTAATGTTTAGGAATAACTCACTGAAATCTGTCCAAACAAGAGTCTAGTAAACATCCCGGGTAGGATAAAACTTGAAACACGAAATCAAAAATTATAATTTAATAAATAATCATAAAAATAATAATATAATAATAAATTTAATTCAATAATATCAAACCAAAAACACTGAAATTTGAAATATAGCGCCAAGTTCACACACATCGCTGAGCAAAGTCGCAAAAACGTTTTCAGTGCCTGATGACGAATTTCCCCAGGAATCATTATCACTCTATTCTGCAAGTGGTTCTGATTTACTATCGCTGTTCTCTAGCTGGTTTAAAACTGCTTTTGACCTAACGGGACGCTTTTTGGACGCCATGGACATTTCTCAGTTTCCAGGCAGAAAACAGTAAAAATGCAGGCAGGGCACAGGACAAAGCACTCGGGACAAAATGTATGTGAAATGGTTTGATACAGTAATGTTTTACTATGTGATTTTAGTGAATGTCACTTTTTGTCATTTTCAAATTCCCCGCCGTTCCCCCGTACGTCCCGATGCTTGCAGGGGACGGAACCCAGATGACAGATGCCGGCATCCACCGGATAACATTGCAGGGGACACTGCAGGAGGGACATCGCGGGAGCACAGGACAAGGTAAGTGATCGAGGGATCGTGGAGCAGCGCCGCAGGGTATTCCC